ATGTATTGAATACCTATTGTAATTTTAAACAAGGTACACTTTCGGTACAAGGTCCAGCAAAATGATTTTTCAATAGTCAGGCAAAGCTATTGTCACTCAGAATGTGGTAAGAAAAAAATCCAAGAAGTAAACCCAATTTGTTTTACAGGATTACTTATAGCAATGTAGGCTCGATAAGTAGTATGCAGGTTTGTAAAAACAAACAATATATAAGTCGACTCTTGGAACATCTTTGTGATAATCTTTTGGTACTGATAACTGCATGTTTCGTGGTTTTGTTGGTGTCTTTTATTTGTTTTGTTTGTTATGAGATTTTAAAAAAATGAAGGTGCGCATCAATCAAACAAAAATTGGCAGCCCTTTGACATATCTTGCAAGGTTCCTGTACTAAAAATAAGTAAATTGAACATAAATTCACCCTGTTGCAAGTATGTTTTATATAGGCCTAGCCCCTGTATGAAACAAATCTATCCCATCATCAATAAAATTAATATAAAATCAAAAGTTTAAGATATATTCTATGTGGAACAAATTGAAGAGGACCTCGCAAGATACGTCACCATGTTGCTAATTTGTGTTAGTATATATGACAACTTCACAAATTCATAACTGTCATGTTTTTCATCGGATATTGCTAAAAACTTTCACAAAAATTGTTTTTATCAGTTTTTTGCTTTTATTATAAAAAACTTGAATTCAGGGTGGACTTCCCCTGCCTTTAATAATATGGTTATACTTATAGTGCAGGATATTATATAACAGCAGCAGGGCAACGCTCGGCACACTGTGTTATGCGACCGATTTGTAATGATGAGGCGATTAAAAACTTAAAAACAATAAAAACAACACGGCAACGGCATGACAACTATAGTAGGAGACCTCTTTATATTTATTTCTTTGGCAGAAATATACTATTTCAAGACTGCATAGATAGAATTACACCTTTTGTCAAACAAATACATGAATAACAGACAATTCCAAACACACACAAGAAATAACATAAATACATGTATATATATATATATATATATATATATATATATATACATGATTACATGTAGAAGTAACTAGTAAAAGTGAAATTCTGCTTTAGAATACTTTGGGAAATAGAACAAGTTGAAATTAAGGCTCGGTGTAAAAATGTCAGTGGAAAAAATGTCAGAGGTAAAAATGTCAGAGGTAAAAATGTCAGAGGAAAAAATGTCAGAGGTAAAAATGTCAGAGTTTAAAATTTCAGAGGTAAAAATGTCAGAGGTAAAAATGTCAGAGGTAAAATGTCAGAGGAAAAAAATGTCAGAGGTAAAAATGTCAGAGGAAAAAATGTCAGAGGTAAAAATGTCAGAGGTAAAATGTCAGAGGTAAAAATGTCAGAGGTAAAAATGTCAGAGGTAAAATGTCAGAGGTAAAAATGTCAGAGGTAAAAATGTCAGAGGTAAAAATGTCAGAGGAAAAAATGTCAGAGGTAAAAATGTCAGAGTTTAAAATGTCAGAGGTAAAAATGTTAGAGGTATAAAATAAAAACAAAAGCATGTGACAAGTTTGTTATGTTTACACCCGGGTTATATATCAGGCTTATCGAAAAAGAACAGCGAGGGATATTCTGCAGTCGTTATTTCACCGCTGTCTTATTGTATTAGTTAAGTCTTATTTTGAGCGTATACCAAGGTTGTAGTCTTTGTAGAGGAATCTTGTACTTTGAAGCATGCTATCAGTTGTCGCTGGCAAGCTGTGAAAGTCGGAGTACACCATCCATGTCCCATTAGTCTGCCTTATTCAATATTTATATACCGGTATATTATGTTTTTGTATAAGCAAATGGTACTGGTACACTGAGCAAACTTCTGGGGAAAAAGATTTCTAAAATCGAGAAGTTTGACCATGTTTTATAGGCTGAGTTGTCGCTCCATGGTGTAATCATTAAAAAAAAAACAAGGTTATTTAATAAAAGGATCATGCGACAAATAATCATTGTGATTCAAATTGATGCAAGGATTTTTTTTGAATAAACAATGCTTTTCACCAGAATCTTCTTTGTAAAAACGACTTTTACAAATCTAAGCCATGCAAATCTGCCACTGTGTTGTAAGATTACTTTCAGATTAGGAGAAGTGTATTCTGTAATGAGTATTTTACATTGAATGGAACGTCTCAACTCAGTAAGCATGGCTGAGATTTGTAAAAGTTGTTTTTACAAAGAAGATTCGGGTGAATAGCAGTGCTTATTCAAACAAATATTCGCATCAATTTGAATCACAATCATTATTTGTCGCTTAATCCCTTTTAATGACCTTGTTTTCTTTCTCGTTTGCAAGGGGAGAAGAAGATATGTCACGTTAAAGACATCATAAAGATCAGTGTTGTATACGTATATATTATTTACACAGGCCAGTAACAGCTATGTAGCTTGTAATTTGTAAGAGGGAAAATGCTGATTGAAATGATAATGATGAAATAGCAAATAATTGAGGAGTATCATAGGTACCAATTCAATGGATATTTGTATAACAGAGAGCCCCCCTCAGTACTAAAAGAGCCCCCGTGAGAAGGCTCACGGGGGCTCTTTTTGGGGGGGAAGAGCCCCCGTGGACAAAAAATTAATTTGAGCCCTGGTTGTAGAGGAATCATGTACTTTGAAGAATGCTATCAATTGTCTGATGACCGCTTGCAAGGCGTGAAACTCGGAGTACACCATCCATGTCCCATTAGTCTGCCTTATTCAATATTTATATACCGGTATATTATGTTTTTGTATAAGCAAATGGTACTGGTACACTGAGCAAACTTCGGGGAAAAAGATTTCTAAAATCGAGAAGTTTGGCCATGTTTTATAGGCTGAGTTGTCGCTCCATGGTGTAATCATTAAATAAAAAGAAAAGTCAGTACAGCCCCCAAAATAGGATCAGATATCTATGAACCTTCCCCCTCCTACTTCTCCTTCATATTTGAAGATTGTTGGACATTTTAACTGCGTGGCAATGTCTACTATTATATGTAATTTCCAATAAATGCATATTTCCGACAATTCCACTTTCTTGAGGGCTTGGTATTTTGATACTCTGAAACAAGCAGAAAGCCATGTTATCAATGCTAACCGCACCATCACATTCCTGAAGTGCGCGCGTTGCAATAAAATATTGTCGATTACCATTGCGGTATAAAATAGTCTGGGAGAAAATCAATAAGCAGCTTTGTTACTCCGATACAAAGCAGAAAGCCGCACATGTTACATCAATTAAAGAGAAGGTTGAGTTCTGGGGAAAGGTAAAAAATATGTTTGTGAGCGTTCAATGCAAGTGTGATAGAACATCAAAGAAAAAAGTCATTCCCTGAAAATCTATTTCAAATGACTTCATATCCCAGATATAACAAGTAACATCTTTGTATGGCTGCCCGATTTGTATGCCATATGTTTGTGTAGTCCCATATCAATATCTTTCTGTGTACAGTGCTTGTTACTTTACCAAGACTGGGCCAAATTTTGTATCATTTTGATGACTCCAAAACCTTGCACTACACACCAATACTTACATGTTTATGCTAGATGATTAACCTTCTCTGATTGCTTCCACAAAAAATAAATTTCAAAATCTATTTTCCACATTATATTATCCTCAGGACATGTACGATATACAACACATCCATTTAGAAAGGAATATAATAGACTAGCCCATGCAGTAGCTGTACGTCTCGACATTCTGAGTGATAAAAGTGCTGAGATATTATGACGGCACTCATTTGTTTTGCTTGTACCTCTGACATTTTTACCTCTGACATTTTTACCTCTGACATTTTTACCTCTGACATTTTTACCTCTGATATTTTTTCCTCTGACATTTTTTCCTCTGACATTTTTACCTCTGATATTTTTTCCTCTGACATTTTTACCTCTGACATTTTTACCTCTGACATTTTTACCTCTGACATTTTTACCTCTGACATTTTTTCCTCTGACATTTTTACCTCTGACATTTTTACCTCTGACATTTTTACCTGGCACCGAAATTAATAAATAAATTCTTCTCTTCCAACTTCTAAAACTTTGAATTTTCACCCATAGGGGCTTCATCGGTAAATAGATAACCATTAGACTCTATAGAATGAATACAAGATTACTAGTGCGAACTATTCCGTTCTATTGCACATAAACTCATGAGACAGTCTTCTGGTGAAGTATAGAGTGCCAAGCGTCAACCTTGTCATCCTATTAAAATTACCATTCTACGACATATTTAATCACTTATGAACGTTTCATTTAAAGAGAAACAGGTCTATAGAGGTATGTACACTGTACATTCAGTATGAATACTGCTCGACCGAAATCGCAATGCACAGAAAAAAGTTAATCATCAGTTATGAAATTGAGTTCATCTTTTCATGTCATTTCATAATTTCATGATACATAACAGTAGTAAGGAGTAAAAGGTCAACACTTGGCGCTCGATGAATCAGTGAATCAAATTCAGTCAGTTTAACTACATGTAAGTTCAATATAATGAATACAGGTTATACACTGTAGTACTGGGTACACATACAATTATTCACTAGTACAATAACTATGGGTCTCAATACAAGTACATGAAAGACAAAAATAAATATCTAACTTAAAACTTAATTACACAAGGCCCTATGATCCCATAAAATGTTGTTCCATAATTGACGATATTTTGCATTTACACTGTTACACATTATTACATCTTTAATATGTATCTTAAATCTCCTTTTTTCAGAAAAAAATTCATTCAGGGCCCTCTTTTCAGAAATAAAAAGTTTTGTGTCACCCATATCCAAAATTCATCGCAGCATGTTTCGCGAAATGGACGTTACTTATTTCCACCAAAAATTAATTATGTCAATTAATTTTTTCTCATACATACATGACTACATGTACAATTGTCTAAACGAAGAGAAAAAAAACATATTGTCAACTTGTCATTGCAGTGACCAGTAATTGGCAGTAAACACAATCATTTACAGCATTTTTGTTCTTCTTTTATTTGTCACTTCTGGGAAAGGCATGACCTTCTTTAGACATATACAATGTACATTACCACTCCAATATATAACTTTCCAATGAGGTGTCATTGTATGAGCACTTTCACATGTAAATAGATGTAGAAGGCTAACAAATCTTATTTTAATGTTGATTATTAAATCAGACAAAACTCACATTGACCCTCTTTTGGCTTAGAGCAACAGAAACAATAAAATACATGTATCAAAGCAATGGGAAGTCTTGTCAGCATTTAGAGGGCCTGTTTTCCCTGATCTTCATAATTTTGTTTTTCTACCTTCTAATCTAGCACTTTAAGTGATAAATTTCTCATAAAACTCTACCGGTATTCAAATTCATTTTCAACTTAAACAAAATCAGTTATTCATCTAAAAGTCATGAGGATTTTTCATTGGCACTGCTTAGACAATAAAAACACTTCCTTAAAGTCCTGAGTGAAAACTGATACCATCTCTGTCCTTTTCAAGGGTTCAACTGAATCTTCAGGAATGAAATGTATGCAATGTCGTTCTTTTCGTACACCATACCTATATGATTCTCATCGATCGTTGTCAGACACGAATAGCCACTCCCCTTTGGTGGATGGTGAAATAATGAGGATAAGTCTCCCCGGAGTCCGTGCTCCAGTGGAGCGTGAGGTTGATGCGGCTCTTCGCATTGAAGGGGTTGCTAAAGAAGAGGGTGTCATTGTAGTTGAGCAGCGAGCCGCAGACCCGCGGGTCGATGAGTTCTTCTTTGAATGTGACTTGAGGCAAGGGAAAGGTCTCTCCGCCATCAAAGCTCAAAGCCTGGATGCGACAGCTGCAGTGAAAAGTGTGCTGGTTGCGGGCGTTGATCAACAACGTACCGTTCTTCAGTTCGACAACCTGTATAGAAAATCATGTAAAAAGATGTTGCAATTCTTTGAAATGATGGCTTTCAGAGTTTCTGTGATTATGATTAGAGACAAAACAGGGCAGGATTGAAGAAAAAAAGATGTCACACACTTTTCTGGGTCTGCATAAAAGACGATCTATCTCTGCCTTAACTGTACAATGTACATTCATGCAAAATGTAAAACCAAAGAGTCACATGTTAACATCATTTGGATGACAAGCAAGACAAATGGTTGTCAGATTTTCCAGGTGACTTTTGTGCCATTTTCTTGTTTATGTATGTGACATTCCAGAAGAATAACTGGAGGTGGCTTGATGGTTCTTGCTGTCATTTTTTTACACATATCTGACAGTGCCTTGCTTAACCACTTGACTGCTCTTGGCTTTAAACACGTTCATACCCCCTGTGCTACAGCATTTTTGTACTGTACAAAAACCTGACAAAAACTGTACACTGTACAAAAAAAAAGCCATTTTTTTTGTGGAAAAGCGCCATCTACTGTTTAACACCTGGGCTGCGTCTCACGAAACCGTCATAAGTACAAGTTGAGCGACATCCCATTGAAATGCGTGTTAAACTTAATACACGCATTTTAATGGGATGTCGCTCAACTTGTACTTATGACGGTTTCGTGAGACGCAGCCCTGTATAACATCATTGCAGTGCTAATTACACAGTAGGGCTAGGTATTATGCAGTGCTACAGTCTTGACAGTGCAATGCTCTAAACACGTACATGTACGTGGTGCGCACAGGCAAGTGAGAGCAAGACCACGTACATGTACGTGGCACGCAGCCAAGTGGTTAAATCCCCACTCCAACAGTGAAGATGGAACATTTTTATCAATAATTCATATTTAGAAGTTCTTACCTGTACTTCTCCAGGTACAAAGTCACCAGTCTTCAGTACGCCTGTCTGTGGCATGTTTAATATTCCAGAATTCATCCGCCAAGTCAATCCTTTGTCTAAAAAACAAACAAAAGCAGAAACAAAAACCAACAAGATTATAACAAGTACATGTAAACAATGACTGTCACTTTTTATGAAACACACAATGCACAGTTCACCCTAAAAGTTATTTGATATCCAAGGTACAATATATCAGGCCACAAATGAATATGATGACTTACATTGATTTATGGATAAACATGAAAACTAAAATGCAATTCATCTACAGGTCCAATATTCAACTTGTTGAAAGAAAGACTAGCAATTAGAATGTATTATTAGAAAAGAGAGATAAAAAAAGGGGGCAACAGCCCTGAAAAGATACAATGAACAGCTCTCTTCTCTTTCAAACAGTAACGTTCTTTGTCATTGAATTAATCCCACTTTAAAGATTCAGTATAAAGAACAGAACAGATTAAGATGACTAGATGAGCAACAAAGGACTGAAGTGAAGACTTTGGAGCTCTAGTAAAGTTCTTTACCATCACTAACGAGGCAGTATAGGCCGGTGACTCCTTGTCCACATGACACAAGCCTTCCTTTATTCGGCTCATACTTCTTTTGGATCCCATATCCAGGTCCAGGGTTGTACTGGATGCCTTTCAGGAGTGGGTTCCTGTCTCCAAGATACACCGATTTGGACCAAGAATATCCCCAGTCTGAACTCGTGACCATGTACAGTCCAGTGGGGTTTTCGCCGGTTCCGTTCAAACAAGATGGGCTGGAATGATGAATGCAGAATGTGTGAATTAGAATAAGTTTATTAGTCTCGTGTTCGATGGTTACTGTCCCAAGATTAGTTCCATCCGGGACCGAGTAGTAGTCATTGAGGATGAATGCAGTGGGATCCCATGTGTCCCCGCCGTCTCTCGAACGGCGCATCGCGATAAACTTCGCCCCAGCATCGGCTCCACTGTACTTGCGTGCTTCGCTGAAAGCCAGCAAATCTCCCGTCGGGACTTGAATGAGAAGCGGAATCCGGAACTCCGTCACTTCGCCTGGTCCGTTCCTTTCCCATAGAATTTTCTCTTTGATGACTTGGGGATTGAGTGATGAAACCGAAAAGATGCATGTCAATATCAAAATAAAGAGCGGAAAGTAGAACAAATCTGCCATATTTTCCTTGATTTACTCGCACTCCCTCCTCAAGCAAAGCAATGTTATGAAGGTTCACCGTTAACCTTATGAAGAAGGCATTGTAAACAAGCCAACCTCGTTTCTATAATTTTTGATTTGGATGACAATATTGTAATTCACCTCTGATTTTATAATTCCATATGAATCAATTTCATCAATAAATTGCCGACAAAACATGCACAATTTGATTGATACTGGGTGTTCTTTCTTCGTATGTGTGGTCCTGTGAAGTATTTATTTGTTATTTATAAGATAGGAAAGTAAAAACAACCCCCATTACATTTTACCGGTCTCAATTTAAAGACTAGTACGTACCGGTTCACTTCCGCATTACCCGCGCTATGTGTACAATGCACAGCATTTAATATGTACCACTACCAGTGCAGTACATACACATGCCGTATGCGGTACCTTGCACGACACAATTCTCATTGATCTGCAACGTTCTTTGATGTTTTTGGATAAGTTTTTGTGAGAACAAGCCGAGCTTGCTTGCCACAGTAAACCTCAGCTCATTCACTGTTCTATGCAAGAAACACAAATCTACACTGGTCTACGGTACGTCTACATGGTCTACACTACCAGACTGCACCACAGTTCAGACTGTGCATGATGATGTTTGTTGGAATTGTTGCAACATGATGACAAGTTGACATTGCTGAGCCTTGACTCTTGAGGACACATTGATAGTCTAAAAAGACGTTGCTACAACTAGAACTGGCCCTAGACTCTATCAGTATTCATGTACATACATATTGGAGTTGGAGTTCTTCTCAAGCTCGATCGAGCTGAAATTGAGTTACGATAACATTACTCGGCTCATTTATTGATTGGACCTTTACAGGCTTTAATTAAGGCCAGAATCTACTTTTCATCATGGCGCTTGCACCCAAAGTGATCATGACCTGGTTCTTCACGCTTCTGTTCCTCATCCTCCTGGCCCTGCGCCTGGACCAGAACACTAAATGGAACTGGTTCATCATATTCCTCCCGCTTTGGATCTTTGACTTCTTGGTCCTCTGCATCCAGCTCCTGCGGATCATCACCCACATCAGGACAGGCCACGACCGCCATCTTGAGATGACCATGTCAACCAAGATTTTCTTCGTCATTGGAATAGGCCTCAAGCTTCTGTTCCAGGTCCTGCTGTGTGTGCGGCTGGAGTACAAGCACGATCTGGCCCTGTTCTATGTTTTCATACCACTCTGGGTGATGCTGTTATTTGGATCTGTTCGGTTGACCCCCTGGCTTGTGAAGCAGACATGATTGTGAACGAAACTTATCTCATTAATAATAGACCTTTTCCAAAGAATCCTTTGAATCTAATTTATCTTGAATTCAAGAAGTACCATTTATAAATATATTTTTTTGTATTAAAAGTAGCAGAAATGTTGATGTTATTGTCAGTACTAGAAAAACTCATTATTTCTTTAGAAACAGTCAAACAGGATATGGCCACATCATGAAGTCATTTTTTAAAAAGACAAAAGAAGCAAATATGAACATATTTCTCTCGTTAAACATGTGTTGTGATAGCATGATATATTTTTCTATATTCGTTGCTATGCACATTTGTTGTTTCTTCTTTTTCCTTCAAAGGAAGGGTCTCTTCCAAAAGTTTTTTAAGTGGTCCATAGAAGGATGAAGCTAGAGATGTCAACATCTAGAACGAATAAAATAAAAAAAGTGATTGACTTTATGATTGCACCAAGAGATGATTTAATAATCATAACTTTTAGAACTACAAGTACAACCATGTTCATGGCAGTTTAGCGAAATGGCGAACTTGCAATATTGGAGAATTGATCAAAGTCAAATGATGGAGAAAGGGAGCATATATGTGCAACTCTAAGATGGTTGATATATGGATGGATGGTCCATAGATGCATGTTTGCCTGCAATGATGCAATCCTAAAATAACTATGGGCAAGAGTCAACAAGACTAAGTGTGGAGTAGACCAACGGAGCAGAAATTCAGCCTGCCTTCACACCTTGCATCATATGGAGGTGTCGCGTCATGCAAGACAAGGATTTCAGACATCCATTCTAGTGAAAGGGTAAATCTAAGGCTCAAGTCTGCTTCACTTTGGAATGCCCCATCAAAAGGGTATGACTATCCAGCATTTAGGTTTAGGGTTACATGTAGGTACAAAGCATAAATGGAAGTCTTAGATTTAGCTTCAGTGGTGAAATGTTGGTCAAGAACAAGATACACTGTAGGACACACAAACAATGAGTGTATTTGTCGTTCTCCTATTTGTTGAAAGATGAAGGGGGGGAGGCAGTAGGCTTGGAGAATTTTGCATTTATTTTCTTAGGGACTTTGTGGCATATAGCCTTAAACTAATTATCCAAACAAGTTATATCCAATACAGTCTAATACTACCAGTACTAATTGGGAGGGGCTAAAGCTGCTCCCAGCCTCCCTCTACTCTAGAATCATGTATCAAAACAATGACCATGACAGAAGAAGATGTTGAGTTAATTTAGTAAATGATCACTCATGCTTTCTGCAAAATACAGTCCTCTTCTCCGACATATATTCATGCAAAAACTTACATGTAGTTGCTTGCAGTACCAGTAAAATCAAAGAACTTGGATCCAATTACAAATTTCCATAAACCTTGTACTAAAGCAGCATGTCAAATTTAGGATCCCAATTTTATTTCCTTAATTTTATGAAGAGGATGTAACAGATCAGGACTAACTATATCGAATCCTGCACCAAATACATATAAGTAAAAATGCTTCTTGTAAATTGATATTCTTTGGTTTATTTTCTTCTTGCAGACAGTGTAAACTTTGAAATTCAAAGTAAAACTTATTGTATGGTTATTGGTATTGTTAATTTCATTCCATAAATAGTACATTACATAATATGTTGTGTCAAAATAATATTTAAAAACTTCATGAGATGTCCCTGAAAAATTGCAACACTATCTTCCCACCCCTTTTGCCTAGTAAAATTTGATATTTTTGCCCCAAATGTTAATTAAAATAGCAAGAAACAAAGATTTAATGGGTCAATATTTAAAAAATTTACTTTGGAGTTTTCATGAAATTTTTTATTCTGTACATACAGTATATTATTTGATTATTTACCAATTTACCAGTACTACGTATGAACATTATTAATCTCCATTTATTTCTATCTTTATTCCTTTCCTCTCTCTCTCTCCAGTATCTCAAAGACTGCGATCATGTACTCCTCATGAAAGATGGGCAGATTAGTGAGAGTGGCACCCACGATGAACTACTGGGTCTGAGCGGGGAGTATGCAAGACTAATCCAGACCTATCATCCAGAGGAGGAAGAGGAGGAGGAGGAGGAGAAGGAGAGAGAAGAAAGCAGGAAAGATGAATTGAGCCAAACCCAGCCTTCTCAGGAGAATGATGAAAAGAAAGACGAAAAGAAAGCAGGCTCACCCGTCAAAGATGGGAAGGGCACGTCTGGTAAGTCTCGCTGATGGGACCTAATCTACACCGGTGTGTTGGCTCAGTCAGTAGAGCGTCCGCCTCACAACCAGGAGGTCGAGGGTTTGAACCCCGGTCGCGTTATACCAAAAGACGTGAAAAGATGGGAGTTGCTGCCTGCTACCTTGTTTGGCGTTCAGCAATAAGGGATAGAGCAACGTCGATCTGGCGCTGCTCAGTGGCTGCCGGGCTCACGATCAATTGGACAAAAAGAATTTCCATTTTCGGTTTAACTTAATAAAATTTGGAGTGGACTTTAAAAAGATTATTATTATTATTATGTGGGACTGTGTCACAAATTTATTGCTGCACTAGTTCCAACAAATAAACACGAAAACTGGAAGCAGTTTTTAATTTACTAGTTTACCTCATCCTGGGACTCTTCAATTATTACTCTGCTACAAATTTAGTATTTTCAAATTGAAAATGAAGTTTTGAATAATAGTTATTTTCCTCTCCTCTTACATGATCTATCCTGGACGGATGTCTGGAATGATATAAAGAGCCAATTCATAGCTTTTTAACTATTTACATTCACCTAAATGTAATTAAATTGTAATAATATACCGGTAGTGGTAGGAGAATTAAGGAATCAATCTGATCAGTTTTTCTCAATTTTTATCATTAATAATGGTCTGTTTTCAGTTTACTCAAACTTTCAGATTACCGGTATCTTTAATTGTACATCTAGCGTTGAAGTCACTACCTTGGCACCATTTTCTCTCATCTGAACAATGTTACCAAGTTCCTTTAAGCATCTATAAGAAAATGGAAATTGATGAAACTTGTTTCTTTCTAATCTAATCTCCCTAGCTGAGCTGATAAAGGAAGAGAGCATGGAGTCAGGAATGGTTTCCATGGCAACGTACAGCTCCTACGTCCACTATGCAGGCGGATGGTGCAAAGTCATAGGAACGGGTCTCTTCATCGTTCTATCTAACGCCTTCCTCGTCGCTACCAATGCCTGGCCGGCCATTTGGTTGAGGGCAGCAGACATGCAAAATGTGGTAAGATGAATGCAAACAGCAGAATTGCGAGGATCAAGCTTGGTAGTGTTAACCCATGAAGTGTTTTATAAGCCTTTATTTATGCAAGGGCTGTTTTCATAAATTTTGCAAGTTATTGCAGATTTGCATTTTAACAACCATATCAAGCTGGCAACACATCCATGAACATATATATTGTTCTATATAATCATAAAAATGCCACTGACAGGAAATGTTTCCCTGTCATAGCAACAATATTGGCCTGAAATACAGTATACCCAGACATTGTGTGTATCAAAGCTATGATTTTCCATCATTGAAAAGGGTCTGTTATTGAGTTGAATAGTCTTTCCAACCAGAGGTTAGTGCATGATACATGTAACAGTTTACCTGGTTCGTCACACTATCAACAAAGTGGCTGCCCATGTCATGCTAAAAGGCATCACATCATACCTCAATTATCTTCATTTATTTCATCTCTTGTACACTTTTATAAGAAATATTGTATATCGTAAGGCATAAATAAATCTTTGTCTTTCAGCATACCCACACTTGGTCTTTGGGGTGAGGTTTCCTTTAATAAAAGAGTCAATATTCCAATGCATGTTGTACGTTCTTACAAAGTTGTATTCAAGCACAAGTAAAGTTGACACTCTTTTACATTCTCGTCAGATCTATACCAACAAAAGAATTATGCAACAGTTCTTTTAAAACGGGACTGTACTACTTGTAGCTACTCACGCCCTCTATGAAGCCAACAATGCCTAAGCGGTACCAGTTGGTCCCCCATAGTCCCCTTTTTCTTATGTTAATTGAGAGCTGATTTGATGAGATAACCACCTGCCAGGGACCACGCTGGGAGGTCTAGTCCCTCCTGACCAAACTAGTGCAGATAGGCTTTAAGAACTAACACATCTATTCAAGAAGAATATTCCAGTCTTTCTAATGACTACACACATGGTGTACCCATGTAAGTTATCCCTACTCTTCTGCCTCACCATGATAAAGAACATTTGTAGGTACAAAATGTTTATTCCATGAAAATAAAAATAAAAACAGTGTCGGGCAATGTTAGGCTTGCCCATGTACTATTCCAATGATTCTTTACACATACCAATGTTATGAACATCTCTCCTGTTTTCTGATTGATTCACTAGGAATATCAAGTAATAACAAACACGAACGACACCTACACAGACTACTACACGGGAGCTCCATATGAAGAAACGGATGAAAGCCTCGATCTCGATGAAAGACTCGACTTCTATGTTGGTTTCTACGTAGCCCTGTTCTTGGCCGTTCTGGTCATGTTCGTACTATCGTCAAAATTTTATGTCATTGTAAGTCATGGAGTCATATGGCATATCGTGGCCATATTGGCCTATTATATCCAATATAATTCATTATCATCTATATAAGGCTTCCAAGTGGTACAATAAACCAGTGTATTCAATATCTTTAGCGCAGCACCCGAATGACCGACCAATATTGTTCTCGTATTGCTCAGTCATCTGGGAACTTCAACTACTGTTATCGATATCATATCGATATCACACGAAAACAAACTACCGGTACAGGAAATATTTTAATCTGCTACGTTTGGACGACAATATAATGGGTTGTAGTATTTAGTGATGCTGCCATCCCCACTTATTTTACATCCTAAGAATGGCAAGTAGTTAAAGATAAGTTTTAGTTTCTATTAAATTTGATAATTTTAGTCTACTGCTTGTATTATGCACAGCAACCTCCACAATGCCTTGTTTATGAGTGATCATGAGTTCCTCCAAATGATAACTTTCATACTTTTTTCCTTTGACAGGTTGTGTTTAATACTCTCTGCCAGTAGTCTCACAATTCTTTCACTTTGCTTTTGAGAGTGATAGCAAGTTTCCATACATGATCATTTCAATAATTTCTTCTTGACAGGTTGGGTTGTGGGCAAATCATAGCAACCTCAACAACTTGTCGTTTTACCAGAGTTATAGCAAGTTCGTATAACAAACAGGCCTGATAATTACCTGATTTAAATCGTTTTCCCCAATTTTTTTTTTCTTCCCGAATATTTTTTTTCCCCGTTCCCTGTTTTTTTTTATTCCCTGATTTTTCCATTATTTTCTCTATTTTTTTTTATTTTTTTTATTTTTAAATTTTTTTTTAGTGCTCACTATCACCCCTGAACAAATGATTTCAATAATTTATTTTTTACCAGCTTGTATTACGAGCCGCCAGCAACCTTCACAACGCCTTGTTTACGAGAGTGATCGAGAGTTCCATGATCTTCTTTGACACCACTCCGCTGGGCAGGATTCTCAACAGATTCTCAAAAGACATGGATGAAGGTGAGATAGAGGGTACCTTTAAAAGGGGCAGCCATTTCATTTGTGACAATTGAAGGCAAAGTGAACCCCTTTATTAATGATGACATGGATGAGGATTCATGGAACAACCACCTTGGAACAGGACGATGCATACATGGGGCTATAGTAAAGATAGCGGAAATATGTGTGCAGCTATGAGGAGGAACAGACGATGAAACACCTCTTAGTCTCTTAAGATAATTTTACGGATTTGCACAATTTTATTGTTACCGTATGCCAATTGTAATCCGATTATATCGCAGCATGAAACTGTAATGACTCTGATCCACTTGCAAAATTTGCAAGACTTCATGCAGGGAAAATGAAGCTAAATGCTAAATCAGGTTTCACTATAATTACCTTCTACTGTGTAGTAAACATCAAATGAACTGTAAGTAAATAAGATTTGTTTTTATATCAACTCCACTTCTTTGCAGTTGATCTTGATCTTCCAAACTGCCTGTTACGCATGATCTACTGCCTGTGTTTTTGCGTGATTGGCGAGCTTGGAGCGTGCGTCTTTCTCCCATGGAACATTCTTCCGTTCCTGCTCTTCATGCCCGCCTGCCTTTTCATCCTGCGGTTCTTCCGCTGCGGATTCTGCGACATCAAACGGCTGAATAACATCTGCCGGTCCCGCCTCGTCTCCCACCTCTCAGCCACCATGCAGGGACACGCTACCATCAAAGCTTTCTGCAAGTCAAACTACTTCATTAGGAGGTTAGCAATCTTCCATTAAAGGGATCGTTTAACAATGCTAAATCTACGTGTTATCAGTGTCTGTGATATGGTGTTATATTGAAGCCCTAAAAAAATTCCGCTTCAAAATGATCAAGAAGCAAAATGATCAAGTCTCATCAAGAGGTGCCTCAAAAAAGGAAATACCTTGGAGTGACTGGTTTTACCATACTTGTTTTCCCCAGTAGACTGTAGTGTTATGAAAACCGTTTGTCAAACGCAAATTTGATTTCGAGTTTCAATCATAAATATCTTGATAATCAGACAGGCGATCGGCTTGTAAAAGTCATGGGGTTCCTGACTGACCTAAAAGTTTATACTCATCATTGCAGCATGAGCTAAATCAAGGATTTTTGTTAGAGGATCTAAGACAAAGTTACCGGATGCCTTTAAATGTCTTTTTGATTGATTAAATTCTCAAAATTACCAACCATACCACTGGTCTATTCACCTAATTTCATTCTTTATTTTATCAAAAACATGAGGTTAAAGTTAAGGTTGGGTTTTAGGTTTGTGTTAGGTATAGTGTTTGGTCCGGGGTTAAAGTTAGGAATTTGGTTAGTGCAGAAATTAGACCACATGGCAGTTGTCTTTGAGGCTGACTTGTGCATTATTTTTACTCTAGTTTGCATGAAGAAGATTTATGATATATTATTAATCTATACATGCCTCCATAGGTACAAAACCTTGTTGTATGAGAGATATAAATGATTTCCTATTTGTCTTTCCATGCCTCCATAGGTACAAAACCTTGTATGATAGATATAAATGATTTCCTATTTGTCTTTCCATGCCTCCATAGGTACAAAACCTTGTATGAGAGATATAAATGATTTCCTATTTGTCTTTCCATGCCTCCATAGGTACAAAACCTTGTATGAGAGATATAAATGATTTCCTATTTGTCTTTCCATGCCTCCGTAGGTACGAAGCCTTACTGGACAGTGACACACAACTGCTCCAGACCGTACAAATGGCAATACGCTGGGCTGCGGTCAGACTCGACTCGCTTGCTGCCCTCAACGCTGGAGTGGTGACAGTCATTATCATCCTGTGGAGGAATCACATGTCCAATTCAATCATGGGCTTCGTTCTCTATATCGTTTCAAGTGTAAGCTCTTCTTTTTCCTCCTTTTTTGTTTCTTTTCTTTTAGATGAATCCTTTGACAAAAAGAATCCACTATCATCTGCACTTTGTCTTCCAATGGAAAACACATAAAAACAGAAGCTTGGATATCAGCGCTCATACTACTAAAGAAATTCAAACTTGATGATTGGTTTAGGGCTTTTGTTTAAAAACAGGCTATTCAATATTTAGTTTTGCCAGTTTACAAATATTGCCTTCAAACATTTTTTTGTTGTTATCATTAGTAGAATTATGATTGTTTGATACCATCTGTTCTCATTGCAGCTATGTATAGGGACCATCCAAACTACATTCATCGCATTGACGGAGACAGAGAGTAGTTTTATTGCAGTGGAGAGGCTGTTAGAATACATTCAGGTATGTCCAAAGTCAAGGGTCGTTCAAATTAAATTATAATTAATGTAACAGGATGCTTGTTAACAAATCATTAATGCCTCATTTGTTGACAATTTTAATTCAGATTGTTTATTTTATAGGGGTGTGAAGGCTATTGATGAGCACTTTGAATCTTCTACATATTTTGAAAGCTGTAGCATTGTTGTTGAATCAGGAGACCCAGAACCTTAGATACTGTTATTTGTCACAATGATAGGGCTACAGCCAGCAAAGTTTAGTAATTGCAGTAAAGCTTCATTTCAAGCAAACATTTATAATAACAAATAATTGTGAAAAATTATCATGTATTCGTCATAAGTTATGCTGTAGTTTATACAAGTCAAATGTAAATAAAAAAGTAAACAAACTTTTGCTGAAAACCATTTACCCTGAAAATTGCCAATTGGGATTTGTTTGCATTGGACAACAATGCATGGACAAACTCTAACTCAACTTGTCATATGACATTAACTTTATTTTTGCTGATTACTTTGCAATTACATATTTCTATCAAAATCATTTGGCAGAAAATTGTGTACTCATGCAGATTAATATTTGGTGACAACTGTATTTGATTTTATTCATAACTTTGAATAGAATTTATTTTTTTTGTTAAAAGTTGATGATAAATAGCTCTCATGGAGAATTCAATACCATTTGAGTGTTTACCCAAAACCAGGTTCTGTCAATCACCAGGATAAGCCTTCAGTTTGATAACCAACTGGCCTTATGTATTAAATGCTCTGTATTTTTCACCAATCGCCCCATATGGAATAGTTACTATCTTTCATGTCCCTTCCCGAGGACTCTCTGAGAGACGAGGGGGTATTTCTTGATGGGACCACAGGTTTGCTGTGTGAGGCTTGTACACCCATTAATGGTATTTCCACCAAGTCTTGTGTCAGTGAATTATGACCTACTGCACATGGCAACTGACTACCGTCTCCTTTTAAACAATTTATTCTTGATCATGACAGACTCTACCACCAGAGGAGGCTAAGACTGAGAAGAAATCACAGGATGTTACCGGCTGGCCATCAGAGGGGCGTGTCCAGTTTAAGGGGGTCAAGATGCGCTACCAGCCCCACCTTCCGTTGGTCCTAAAAGACATCAATCTAGTCTTCGAGCCCAGAGAGAAAGTGGGGATTGTGGGAAGGACCGGATCAGGTAAGATCGCCCCCCTACCCACTGTTGACTAGAGGCATAACATTTTCCTGCTTTCTGTCCTTTATCCGGTCACGTCTTTTTACTCCAGTAATTGCAGGGCTATTTAGTGATACTGGTATGAAGAAAAAAAGTAAATATCTATAAAGTCTAATGAAAAAAAATGTATCACCATTTGGGCATAATATGAGTTAGAAAATGCCTGAAAAAAAAGAGGTGATGGGAGTCCAAATATGAGGTGCTTTTTCGAAATTCTCATTGGGGAATCATTGCCTGGGACCTGTTTCACAAACTTTTTTTCAATGACAAATGGCAAATATCAGTGACAAATCTGTTGATAACCAATCAGAAGCAAGGATTTCAGTAACTTATAACAAAAACCGGTCTCTACTCTCTCTCCTTCTCTCTCTCCAAAGGTAAATCGTCTCTTGGAATAGCCCTGTTCAGACTGACACAGATCTGTGAAGGGTCTATTCTCATTGATGGGATGGACATCGGTAAGCTAAGCCTCCAGGACCTACGCAATAGCCTCTCCATCATTCCTCAGGATCCGGTCCTCTTCATTGGAACCATCAGGTTAGTTTCAATCAGTATTAATTCAATTCAATTCATCTTTATTCAACGATATAAAAAAAATAGTACCATACAATAAAACATATTGACATAATCATATACATGTATAAAGTTAACATATCGTTAAGGGCAACCAAAATAGATCAAGATCTTGATCTATTGTGGACTGGTGCCCCTTTCACAAAATTCACAAATTATAAGTAAAACATTAATGATAATTACAAGCGGACACATCCAACACACACACACACACACACTCACCCAAGAGAAGGGAAGGAGAAAGAGAGATTACATGTACAGTGTACATATATGAGGTAAACTTATGAAAAAGATATATGGAAATCAAGAAGTATATTTATGAATAAAGTGACTTTTAAATAAGACTTTAAAGGAGGAGGCTGTTGAACAGGGACGAATGATTGTATTTAGACTATAAAAATCTTTGGTCCTATATGTTTAAAAGAATTATACATTTGCGTATTAGAAGTTGAAGGAAGGTGAAATTGTGAAGCTGAACGTGTGTAATACTGATGAAAATCATTATTAAAGTTAAACAAATTGATTATATTGGCTAAAAAATCGTGCTTCAAAATGATCAAGCAGTGCCTCAAAAAATTGAAAATCATTGAGTGACCGTTTTACCATACTTGTTTCCCCCAGTAGACTGTAGTGTTATGAAACCGTTAAGCAAACGCAAAATTTGGTTTCGATTTCCAATCATAAATATCTTGATAATCAGACAGGCGATTGGCTTGTAAAAGTCACAAGGTTCCTGACTGACCTAAAGGTTTATAACTATCATTGCAGCATGAGCTAAGTCCAGGATTTTGTTTCAGAACCGAATCCCTTTAAAAATAAAATCTTATCCTTTATTTCTTTCATACTGTATTTTCTCCACACTCCTTAAATGTTCATCCACAACATGCCAGGAATAGTTGTTCTGGGTCCCCTGAGTGTGAGTTAAAAAGAAACAAATAGTTTCTAAAATATCACAGAAACAGAATGGTAAAGTTTTGAACAAAGATGAACAATAAAGCAGGTACAATTTGCCTCAACTTTTGGAGGTCTTGACTTACACATCTTGAAAAATAATTATAAATGGAGTAATGTATACAATCATATTGCTACTAATTTGTTTGTGATGAGTAATATAATTAAATGGGTATTATTTGAATTCAACAGGTTCTTGAAAAAAACAAAATGATACGCCACCAGGGGCGTCTCTTTAGGGTGGGGGGGGGGGGAGTGCGTCACCCCCCCCCCCCATATGTTGGGAAAATCGAGAAAAGGGGGAGGGGAAAAAAAGAGGAAAAGGAAGGAAAGAAAGAAAGAGAAAGAGGGAGGAGAGGAAAGAAAGGAAAAGCCCCTCCCTAAAATAAGATCCTAGCTACTGCGCCTGCATTAAAATATTTAGCAATGATGCCAACTAAGTTGACGAAATAATTTGTATTATGTCGTCAAGGAAAATAACCATTTGCAAGTACTATAGAGTTCATAGAAAAATAATTTAGCCTTGGGCTCCGGGTTTATAGGGTTAAATTTGTAGATATTGGGACATTTAATTTTGTCGGTAATTTCGTGGCTAGTTTTGTTGGTAATCGTTGGCCTCTACACCCCCCCCCCCCCCCCCCCCCCCCCCCGCACTGAAAAAGGTCTAGCAACGCCCCTGTACACCACTTATATTTTGTTTGCTTGCCTCAATCCAGATACAATATAGATCCTTTCAATGAGCATCCTGATCATGAGCTATGGGAAGCACTGGAGAAAACTCATATCAAGCAGACGGTAAGAAAACATGTGCAATATCAAGTATTTATGTCATGGAGATGATAATTAAACGTTATTGAAAGGATTGTTGAAAAAACAGATAGTTATAGCGATTGTATAATTTAGGGAGGCCGAAGAAAAAATGTCATCAAATTTCTTAGATTTAGCAGGATTTTGGCAGTCATGGAAATTCAAAAACACATTTTGAGGCCTGGATATGCAATGCAAAAAATGGAAAATGACCAAAACTTGTGGAAAATCATTAGCAATCAAGGATGTTTCAAAATACTTCTGATAAGGAACATAATTGCACAACAATCACTTACTAGACTGTATGAATGAATGTTTTGAGGACAGGGCCAAGGAAAAAACTTAATAGATTCTAGAAATATTATCATTGAAAATTTGTGGAATTTGTGTTTCTAGGAAGGACAGGAACCCTAACAATCACATATTTCAAATCTTGTTGCCCCCAGATCACTAATCTTGATGGAAAGCTTGGTGCGCCGGTGCTGGAGAATGGAGAAAACTTCTCGGTCGGCGAGAGACAGCTCATTTGCATGGCCAGGGCATTACTACGAAAAAGCAAGGTATGCTCCTGTAGCTTCTGCATATGATTCTAACCCTTGTCGTAAATGTGGATTAATCTCAACTTTTACTTGCGAGTACTTGCTTTGAAAGCGTCAGGGACTTATGCAGTAATTGAGCCCTGTCATAGCCGAGTTTAGTGAAATTTGGAAAGTCATATATTGTAGAAGATATGAAATGATGAATATTGTAATGGCATAACAAATTGATTTACTACTGTATGTTAAAAAAACAGAGGAAATCTTGGCCATTTTACAGTCTAGGGGAAAGAAAGCATACAACAATCATATTGGCTGCAAATGTGTATAATAGTGCATACAGACATCGTACATTGTAGGATGGTCAAAGCAGCCGCAAAAAGTTGTCCCGACTTTGCAGGATGAAGAAAAAATTACAGCACTGCAAGTGGTGAAAAGTAATCGTCATGTGCAGTAGGGAGACTTGCAAAAACTGTTGTATTCATTGGATGATGACTGTATATATGCATGTCATTGTGTTTTTCCTTATAGGTTCTGTTACTAGACGAAGCAACAGCAGCTATAGACACGCACACAGATAGCCTTATACAGCAGACTATACGAGACGCATTCCAAGATTGCACCATGCTCATCATAGCACATAGACTCAATACAGTACTAGATTGTGATAAAATACTAGTCATGGACCAGGGCCAGGTTAGTATAGACCAATTGATTAGACCATGCTCATCATAGCACATAGACTCAATACAGTACTAGATTGTGATAAAATACTAGTCATGGACCAGGGCCAGGTTAGTATAGACCAATTGATTAGACCATGCTCATCATAGCACATAGACTCAATACAGTACTAGATTGTGATAAAATACTAGTCATGGACCAGGGCCAGGTTAGTATATATAGACCAATTGATTGGACCGTGTTCATCATATCATAAAGACTTGAATACTAGATTGTGATAAAATACTAGTCATGGACCAGGGCCAGGTTAGTATAGACCAATTGATTAGACCATGCTCATCATAACACATAGACTCAATACAGTACTAGATTGTGATAAAATACTAGTCATGGACCAGGGCCAGGTTAGTATAGACCAATTGATTAGACCATGCTCATCATAGCACATAGACTCAATACAGTACTAGATTGTGATAAAATACTAGTCATGGACCAGGGCCAGGTTAGTATAGACCAATTGATTAGACCATGCTCATCATAACACATAGACTCAATACAGTACTAGATTGTGATAAAATACTAGTCATGGACCAGGGCCAGGTTAGTATAGACCAATTGATTAGACCATGCTCATCATAACACATAGACTCAATACAGTACTAGATTGTGATAAAATACTAGTCATGGACCAGGGCCAGGTTAGTATAGACCAATTGATTGGACCGTGTTTATCATAGTACAGTCAAACCTGTCTATAGAGACTGCCCAAGGGAAACACAAAAAGTGGTCTTTGTGGACAGATTCCTTTAGTACATGTTTCAATGAGAAACCTTTTTCAAGGGAAACAAAAAATGTGCTTGTTGTAGACGACTGGTCTTTGTAGACAGGTGGTCACTAAAGCAGGTTTGAATGTATATAGAATCAGTAAGGAACTTGATCTGAAATACAGAAAAGGTAATCTTGTGAACTTGATATCCTCTATCTTGTTAATAGGTGGGAGAGTTTGATTCACCGTCTAACCTACTCGCCAATCCTAACTCCAAACTGTCAGCCATGTTGGAAGCAGCTGGAGACAAGACCACACCAGGGCAGAGCTCTCCATGACACAGTCCTGGGCCCCCGTTTCACAAAACTTGTCATCAGTGACAAATGACAGTTTTTGTTATAAGCTACTGAAATCCTTGCTTCTGATTGGTTATCAGCAGATTTGTCACTGATATTTTTCATTTGTTAATGAAAAAAGGCTTTGTGAAACACCCTCCTGATGTACATGTAGGCCTATGCTAGACCCAACTGTGGGCCTGTACTTGGACCTATTGTAGGTGCTGCTGCATGTATCCATATTAGACCCAGTGTGGACCAGTCCTGGGGAGGTGCTTGTTGGAGCCATGATACAGGGTGAACCAGTGCGGACCTAGATGAGGCTAATGTGTATGGATCCATAGGAGAGCTACATGGACATAGTCTTTTTCTATTCAAGACTAACTCTGCTATTGTATTCAAGTTTTGGTGCTCGGTTGACTAATGGGTTCTGCCAATTGAATTAGTCATCTATAGAATTAGAAGGATTAGAGGGATAAAAATATATTTATTGGCGACCCACCCCCCGCCCCCCCCCCCCCCAAAAAAATATATATATATATATATATATATTTATATATATATAACTAGCAGGACCCGCGGAAATCCGCGGGATTCTAGAGGTGGGCCGGGGGGGGGGGGTGTAAATAGATATATAGAGACTGTCTAAATTAAAACCACCAAGAACTTTATTTGCCATTCAGGCCATTAAAAAAATATACATGTTTAGCGTCCCCGCCCGCTTCCTTTTTGGGGGCCGCCTCCTCTATTTTTTTTTTTTTGAAAGAAAAAAAATCAGCGTCCCCGCCTGCTTCCTTTTTGGGGGGCCGCCTCCTATTTTTTTTTTTTTTTTTTTTTATTTATTTATTTTTTTTTTGAAAGAAAAAAAACATGAAAAGCACTGCTAAAATGTATTTCTGATTTTAAATAAGAAAAAAAAAAATTGTCGGTCGCCATCTTGAAAAATAGCCCGAATGTCAGGGAAAATGTACGGAGCGGCCATTTTGAAAGAAAAAAAAAAGGCCTCCTCCTTCCCATTTTTCGAAAAAACAGGATGCTAAAAATGTTTTTTTTTTTAATTTGGCCTTATATAAAAATTAAAAAAACGATCCAACTGTACCGGTAATTATTCTTTAAGCCACTGGAACTGCGTAGAGTTCCGTAGTGTGGCGTACCGACTACGCAGAAATTAGGCTGCGTATTAATGGGAAAATAGTCCCTGCGTAGGTTATGCGTAGGCTGGCGTACAGGTTTGCTTATGGTTGCTTACTGTGTGGAAAGCTTTTACTGCTTTGTCGATCTGGCGTAGGGTAGCGTACTGTTGCGTAGGCATGTAGCGTAGTGTTGCGTAAAAAGGCTGCTTTCTGCGTCAAGTTTCTACGCCGAAAGTACGCAAAAAAAATTAAACATGTTGAATTGTTTTCTTTCATCTTGCGTACCCCTTTTCGTTCCTCAGCATATAGTAACGTAGGCCAGCGTAGTTTGTACGCAACACTACGCAACTCTACGTATTGACCCCACGCCAATCAGTGACCCGCAAGTGTCATAAATAAAGTATTAAAAATATGCTCATCTGACCCTAATTAAACACCTAAACCCCCCGAGCTTTCGGGGGTTTATGGACCCTTGAAACCCGTGGACCCCACGCCTATATTATATATATACACTCAACTCGCTGCGATCTGATTTCGATCTCCCACCCCCCCCCCCCAACTTTGAAGAACGTAACCCCCGAGCTTTTGGGGGTTTATGGCCCCTTGAAACCCGTGGACCCCACGCCTATATTATATATACACTCAACTCAGGACCCGCGGAAATCCGAGGGATTCTAGAGGGGGGCGCAGGCAAAAATTAAGTTTTTCATTTCGGGGGCTCCATTTCAAATTTTTGGGAAATTTTCGGGGACTACTTTTTCCAACTTTCGGGGGCTCTTTTTTCTGGGGCTACTTTTTCATTAATTCATAAAAGGATAGGCCTACACTTTGTTGAGATTTGTTTAGTAGGCTCAGGACAGGTTTCAGCCTTCCTATACTTCATAATTAATTGCCTATTTAAAAAAAAAACATTTTTCTAGTTCAATAACTAAGTTTTCATGCATTGATTTGATGCAAGAACTGTAACATAATAGACCCTAGATTGTGATTATTTCTGACCATGAATTTCGATAATCATTTTTCAAAGTAAAATTTTCACAAGAAAATCAGACAGTCGTTTAAAAACGTAAACATTAGTAATACTTTTACCAATTCTAAGATCAGGTTTCGTAAATCTATTCACGAAACTATATTGAAATCGCGGCAATAATGATGCAACCAACAGATAACAATTTCTGAACTCACACACACACACACAGCGTAACTCCAGAAAGCTCGAACACCGGCGTCGCAGGCCTCGGACGCCTGCGGTGCGCGGAGCCGGTGTTGGAGCTTGCTGGAGTTAACTGCAGCTCACACACACTGCACTGACTGAAGGCAGCTTGCGACCAAACTGTCAGTCCAATGGTTTTCTTGTGAAAACTTTCCTTTAGAAAATGATAATCAAAATTTAGTAGCATGGCCGTAATAATCACAAAATAAGCTTTCATTTCATACCTCCATTCATGAAAACTATATAAAAATCGAGGCAATAATGATGGAAATAGGTCCCTAAGCTAAGTTTGGACGTGGACGGGAAGCTTCGTGTGTATCTCTGTGGCTTGTGCAGCTACTATACAAAGGATATCCTATAGAAAGATGCTTTACTCGGGTAAGCCCGACCGTGTGCGTCGTGCATTTAATACGCAACTTAATGTGAGTGGATAGTCATCGGTCGTGTGTCTACGGATGCAATGTTGAATATCCATGAGGTATCTCTGTCGTCACGCATATCCTGCATTATGCATATCGCGTCTGTTTTCGCCCTGGACGTCGACACGGAGGAGGACCTCGGGCGGAGTATAGCCAATTCGCTAGAGTAGACTCTCCCGCGGACGACGGCACCGGTCACCGGTACCCCGAGGGGAGGGTTCAGGAGGAGATAGCCGCACCAACTTGGGTCGGCGATCTCATTAAAAAACAATAGAATACAAAGGCCGGCGGAGACGTCGCGCCCCCCGCGGAGCCTTAGCGTATTATTATTATAGATGATAATAATCTAGGCACAAAGAATGCATGCATAGCTGCCAACCATTCCATTTTTGTAGCCTTCAACTGTATAGATTCCTTTCAGTTTCAGTAAACTGTTGTGTAATTGCATACAAAATACACTGCATTGGATTGAAGAGAATCTTATATTAAAGGTAATACAAAGTTTTGGGAAATTTTGAAAATTGGGTGGATAGTGATTCTTTACAATTTTGATATATTTGGATGCCCCTGTGGATGTATTATAAGTACTAGAAAATTTAGCCCCTAAAACACTTCTGCTTTCGCGAATAATTAAATATGAAAATTTACCGGTGCTCCCGGTAAATTTCAAATAGTGCCTACAGCCGTACAATGGTAGCCGCGACCATGAAAATCTCAGAATATGTAGTTGTGATATATAATTTCCAAACGAGAATAGCTAGTCGGTCGATTTTAGTCAAGAGACATTGTTTTATAGCTTAATTTATATATTGACCTTGAGAGGGAGCTATACAACAAAAAGAGTTTATTATTTACAATTTCATAACCTTAGACTTGATTATAACCGCGACAACGATCACTGAATATTGCGGGATCGCATATGTTCATTTGAACCAAATTCATGACCCCGTACAAAAACTTTGTATTACCTTTAATTGTCTACATTTAGCACATATATTCGTATTCCTATCCCTTGTATTGACACTTTGATGTCTCATGTGTTCATGTTTTTCATATTTTATATGTTATATTAAGAGAATTCAACAACCAAAGAAAAATATCAGTGTTCCCAATTTCAAGAGAGAGAGTGCGGATTTGTTTAATGATTTTATAGTTTCTGAAGTTCTATATCATTCAGTAAGCATGGGGCTGAAAGTATGTTTGATCTTTTCCTGATATTAGTTTGTTCATGACTGTATTGGTTACTAGTGTGTGAAGAAGTATATAACAGGGTTGTTTGTGGTAGGATTTCTAATCTTTCAGTTTTGTAAAACCAGAACATTTCATGATTCATTAATGATGCCATTTTCATGGCGAAAAGTTTTCTGAGTTTTGTGAATTGCATATTACAGAATTCTTATACAGTGTATGTTCTGGGGGGTGTTTCACAAAGATCCTAAGTTGAACTTATCTCTATATTGGAATTAACAATTATGAAAAGCTGTTAGGTTCCTCGAAAATATTTTGTAAAAGTTATTTTAAAAGGCAACAAATTTTGATTTAAATCATTCATATTTTGTATTATCATGGGAAATTTTATGTTCTTGATGTGAAATTTATGAAATGCCCAAAAAACTTGGATTTTTGCTTTTGTATATATTTTTTTAAAGGCTACAAATGGCTCTCCATAATATTTAAGTCGAACTTAGAGTTAAGTTTGACTTAAAATCTTTGTGAAACACCCCCTTTGGCTTCATGATAATATCTTTTTTTTGTAAGGGGCAAATTCAGATTGCATGTAGTCTTTGAATTTTCATAAATATGAAGAGGCATAAATGTGTTAACTTGTCGCCGCCTTTTAACTAGCTGTATTTGATTTCATGAGCAGAACTTTAGAACGGATGGACATGTCCAATTTCCCCTTTAGCAATGAATACTGGTGCAAAAATCGTCTTTCCTGCAATGACCGATCCAAGCCCTGCAATATATTGCAACTTGTATTAATTTGAATACATTGAGAAATTGTCTATTCGACTGAAACATTTATAAGTGTTAATCATATCATCATTTGTATTGATGATTACATGTATTTTTTCAAATTGAATATATCCTTGTTAAAAGGTGAGAAGGAAAATATAATGTTTATTTTTTACTTTTACAGGTGTTATTTTCTAATGCTTACAAGCTGGTTTAAAGATAAGGTCGAGTTCTAGTGACGCGATTGCATTGTGAAAGAAACTGTGGAATTGTTCAGAAAAGTATTGGTGTGTACTGCAACTTCTGCAAGGTTCTGGAATCATCAAAATGATAACAAATTTGGCCCAGTCTTGGTAGAGTTACAAGCACTGTACACATTAAGATGTATATGGGACTACACAAACATGTGGCATAAAAATCCATCCCGATTTTTATGCAGAATATTAAGGCATTTAAAGAGCCATGCTTTTCTGGGAGCATCTTTTACATGTTCTTCCACACTTGCATAATGCACTTCCCAGAACTCGACCTTCTCTTTAAGGGAAGCTTTTATATGTATAATTACGGTGCATACATAACTATATGTAGGGACATGGTTGTTTATTATATGCTGCAGTATATCTTGCAACCAATAAAATTAAAATATTATCATAGAAGTGGCCAGAATGCAGATACACTGTACATGATTTTGAGTTGTTAATAATTGATTCTCACCGACATAAAAAAGCAGAATAACAACAATTGAAGAAAATTAACATTGTGTTTTATTTGCAGTCAAACCTCTTAAGCAGGGCTCCCAC